ATTTGTTAACCTATTTTTGGTAAAGTAGCTATCAAAGATTTGAAAAACAATTGATTGTGCACAAGCTGCGCTCCTTTTTTTATTTTGGGTTTGGGTGTTTTGCTCTTCAGTATGTATGATGAACTTCAATAAAATACGCTTTGGATGCAAAAAAATCCAATCAAAATTGATGAAAATAAGAAAAACGCTTATTAAGAAAAAAATACAACATATTGAAAAAAGATTTACGTATACTATATTGTTTCATTGTAGTGGTTTGACTAGCCAACAATGGCGACAATTGAAAAATCTTTTATATGTCACTCATGGTCAAACTTTGTTTAAACCAAGTGCTTTCTCTTCGACCCTTCATGATAGTGAAAGACCTACCTGTATTTTATACTTGACTGACTCTTGCGAGCACAGACTTGCATCCATGCACGACCTCATCATTCCATTTTTGTGCAAGAAAATGCTATCACCGAAATGTCATTCATGATTCAATTGGTTGTTGTCTGATATAAGTTTGGAAAAAGCAAGGACAGCAAATGCATAGAGAGAGAGCGAGAGAGAGAGACGAACGCCAAGTCGAAAACTAACGCAGAATGTGGCTGTGTAAAACTACCGAACGACGTCAATACATGTACGACAAGGCTTGGACTTGGTAGTCGCAAGCCTACAAGTCTCGCAAAGTGCTCAGCATGGGATGAGTATGGGTGCGTACTAAAAATTTGAAAACAAAAAAATCCTCAGACTACAAGATTATTAACTACCGTAGACAGCACCACCCCCACAGTAATGTCATTGTGACTTGGTAGAAGAAAACGGAGACGAAAACAATAAATAACAACACAGACGCCCCCCAACCCCAGAGGCAGCTAGGAAGCCATGATGATCAAGGACGACGAGAGGATGGTTGTTCATGGGGCGTCCACTGCAACAGAAGACGACGCAAGCGGCGTAGGCCAGTCCGTAAGTTCCCTGGGAAAGGTCGCGAATGGCAGGATTCCTTGTTCTTCCTCTCCCGTATAGCCTTCGCTATCTCCAACAGTGCTTGCCACATGAGCTTGCTCACATCGTCTGACGCCCCACAGTGCTTTCTTTGCACCTCCACCTGGGGACCACCTCCACTTCCACGGTTCCACATTGTCGAAGTTGAATGGAACACTGCCTCTTGCTAGCGCTCTCCATGGTCGTCGCCATTAGCGTCCCATGCCTCTCCATACACTCCGTTCTTCTTCCCGAAACTGCCAGTGTTGCCCATCCGAGATGATCCGACCCCCGTCGCTCTCGAGGACCCTTTCGTGCAGTTGTCGTCTTTGTCGTTGCCGTCAGCACCCACGTCCCCATCGCCCACAGATTCCGGACCACCTGAAACCCGGACGACAGCAGGACACCAGCGGAACCGCGTGTGTCGGCCACATTCTTCGGATGTATGGTGTGACTCTTCGTGGTGGAACCCTTGATCTCCTCAAACACAGACCGACCCATGGTGAACTTGAAGCCATGAGTAGACCTCTCCTTCGTCGTCAATTGAAAGAAGTCTTGTTTCCCGGACTCCTTCTGGAACAAGTGCACCTTTTGAACAGTTGGATCAAGTTGTCCCGTTTCTTCCCGCACTTGTCGGTTGTCCTCTCCACGCCAATCTTCTTCAGGCTTTCTTCAACATCTGCCCACTTCCGTTCCCTCGGCTTCATGCGAGAGTATGCATGGCCCATCCCCTGCAAATAAGCATCCTGGTCTCGCTTCACCCTGATGAGGGCGACCTTGTGGTCGACTGACCAGAAGTTTCGACTGGCCTCGCCCTCGAGGTCGCCTTCCACTCTCAGAGGGAATACTTCCACTCTCAGAGGGATGGACAGATATGGGATATAAGTTGTATAACATTATTATCATACCACAAACTTCCAAACTTGCGCAATACTCAGCTTTTAATAATTTCAAATTAAACCCATGTAAATAATTTTCCTAGAGGCCTTCAGGAAACTTCCCTGAAGTTTCTCAGAAGTTCAGAACATAACTACCAAAATTAAAACTCTGTTCCACGCCAACCGACGGGAAAGTGGGAAAAACAAATCCTTCAGAAAAGTTGAGAGAACAACAAAAAGAAGCTTAGAATTTTCAGAAACAAATACACACAGAAACTAAGTAAAAAAATATCCTTCAGAAAACAACAAAAAGAAGCTTAACACTGGGAAAGTCTCTGCTGCCACTGCTGGTACGATGGTACGAATGTAGAGTACCTGATCAATACAAACTAAGGACATCGCTCCACTGCGCCACTGTCTATTAAATCTATCTGGAGCTGATAATGATCTCACTTTTACAAAAGAAGTACGATCAAAACAGATGTACATGGTCCTATTCAAGTCCAGATACATGCAGAGTGTTTTGTTGTGGAGTAAGGCCCTAACATTGCAAATCACATCCTTCCAAGACCAGAAACACAACAGAACTTCACTGCCAGGATGCCACATCCAAATTTCAGAAAGGAAAAAAGATTCACATCTTCCAAAAAGTGCAATTTAAAAATTTTGTGACCTTCAGCACTATGATGTCTCGAGCTAATAGCTAGCAGCCATTGTTCGTTTTTTTTTTTTTTTTAAGACAAAACATCTGTAAACTTTTTTTTTTCAAGATAAAACATCTTGAAACTTGAACAAATTTTTAGTTTTTTGTTCTCTCGTAACAAGAAAGGGCGGAATTTCGAAATTGTTTATAGAACTCAATATGTCGTCACAAAACAAACGAGTTTTTTCGTTCAAATCATCCAATCCCCAATTAGGATACTGATGTTCCTATTTCATGCTCTTTTCGCTGTTATTATATTAAACTAAATCAATTTTATGTCGCGGCTGCAAGGACCTCCGTGAGAGCTGTATGCGAGGAAACTTGCAGGCTACTCTATATTTATTCATTTATTGAATTTAATTTCTTATCTATTTCATTATGATTTTATTGACTAGTTTTAAGGAACTTCACTCAGAATCTGATACCGACAAGCGCAAAGCGGCAGACGTGAACTTTCGACGTGAATAGAGGCTCGCATGTCCCAAGACGAAAAACAGAAACAAAAGTCCTTTTGAGGCTGCGAGGATATATTTCCAACATCTTTCTCCACTGAAATTAGCACCTTCATAGGGTGCTTCCACATGTTGACATCCAATCCAGGTGAACTAAAAGTCATTATGAATTCTGTGTCTCTTTTTTTTTTTCACGACGCTTTTGATGATCGATCTCTCAAAGCCAAAGCAATCAAAGTTCCGTTGTTGTTTTCGATGTTTAAATTTTACGACGTTAAGTAAACACCAACCATTGAAACATTTTCAAAATTTAAGTAAATACTAAATATCAATCATTGAACCATCGTCGAGTACCCACGAAGTACACATACAAAACACAAAAGCTCCACTTATTGGAACAGAACGAGTATCCATTACTCTCATATGTCGGTCAGGGGCAGTCTCATACGTGGGTAAGCGGCTCATTTCATCACTCACTGATTGCACAAAAGACAAATTACGGCGGTGAATCTTTCCTTGTTCCGTGGGAAGATTCATCATCATTTTGCACATTCGGTGAGTGGTGAAGGGAGTCCATAAGTGGACAGAGATGACAGACTATTCCATCGAATACCAGTGTGCGCCAGGCAAACATCAAAAGTTGGGGGGGGGGCAACAGAACAGGAAAGCTCAAGAGTTAAAACATAACTAACCCAGCCCATGTACTAAGAAAACTGTAAAAAAGGAAAAACAGATCATTACCCAAARAAAAAARAARAAAAAAAAACAACAGATCATGAGTTCAAATCCTGATGGCCCACATGAATACCAGAACGCTAAGAGCTATCCCTCTATAAGAAAMARAAAAWAATTTAAMWAAAAAAAAAAAAAAAAAAAAARMWCAAAACTRAMAAAAAAAMAAAAGAAAGTGTGGCTCAAGTCACTCAACCTCCATTATGGCATAAAGTTCCATAAACACAGATTTGCAATGGATAACGAGATTTATATAGTCCTGCGTAGCACCGTGTTCGGGTTCGGTGAGCAAACCCGAACGTTCATGACCAAACGCGAACGAGTGCCAAAACCCTCCGAACACAAACATAAAAAA